AAAGTATAGAAGTGTCGAATGTGCACTTAGTATGTGCCCCATATAATATATGCTCCTGGTCCATTTTGCAGAATCGTCCAGCTGAACTCATCGCCAAATTTTTGGACGAGAAGCTCCGTGCTGGGAATAAGGGTACTTCTGAAGAAGAATTGGAGAGTACCCTTGAAAAAGTCTTGGTTTTGTTCAGATATATTCAGGTTATCTCTGATTTCTTACATATAGTACTGTGTTTGTCTCTGTTTCATTACTGCATTCAGGCCAGTGCATGGTCTGAAAACAGCTATTTGACCATCTAGATTCAGTTTTGCTGAAGAATCTGTATTTTTCTGATCGAAGGGCAAAGATGTGTTCGAGGCATTTTATAAAAAGGATCTTGCAAAAAGACTTCTGTTGGGAAAGAGCGCTTCAATTGATGCTGAGAAATCAATGATCTCTAAGGTAACAAATGAATATCACAGACACTCCTGTTGATTATATCTCTTGTCATTGAAATTTTTCTTATATTGGTAAAGTTCTTACGCACTGATCCGACCTTTTTCACACCTGCAGCTTAAGACTGAGTGTGGTAGCCAGTTTACAAACAAGCTCGAAGGAATGTTCAAGGTCCTTTGACTTTCTCCTTCTCTATTTTTGCATTAGATGTGGGTCTTCAAATTTTTCTATAGAAACATAAGGATCCTTTTTTATCATCTTTACTTTCTGGAGCTTTATGCTTACAGTTTGTCCTAGTTTGCATATTCTTTGTTACTTTATCCCAGACAATATTGTTGGATGTTCGTGCAACATTCCAACTTTAAGGAACCTGTGTGCATGTACAACAAGCTATAATGAGCTCGTACTCCCTCTTTCTTTGAAATTTCTTCAGGATATTGAATTGTCAAAGGAAATCAACGAGTCATTCAAACAGTCGTCTCAGGCGAGGACAAAACTGCCATCAGGAATTGAAATGAGTGTCCACGTTTTAACAACAGGGTATGCATTATGTATCAAATTGATCCAGGGATTATACCGGATAGCATGGCGCATCTATAAACTTCTTTAACCTCCCATGCATAATGCAGGTACTGGCCAACATATCCACATATGGATGTTAAACTTCCTCATGAGTTAAATGTCTATCAGGTTTCACCAGAAGTTCCGATATAATTTTTCTTTCCGCGATGTTTTTTCTCTTGTTAGCAACTTTTTCTTATTCATGTGTGTTGTTTCGTAGGATATCTTCAAAGAGTTTTATTTGAGCAAGTACAGTGGAAGGAGGTTAATGTGGCAGAATTCATTAGGTCACTGTGTTTTGAAGGCAGATTTCTCGAAAGGTAAAAAGGAGCTTGCTGTTTCCCTGTTCCAGGTCAGTCAAGTTTTTCCCTTCTTTTTATCCATTTTCAAGCTTTACTTGGCATTCATTTTGAATTTTATTCGTCAGTGCAAATCCTTTGCTTAGAAGACATGTTGATTTTGATCGTCTCAGGCTGTGGTGTTGATGTTATTTAACGATGCAATGAAACTTAGCTTTGAAGACATTAAAGATTCCACCGGCATAGAGGACAAAGAACTGAGAAGGACTCTGCAGTCGCTTGCTTGTGGTAAAGTTCGTGTCCTGCAGAAGGTTAGGCTAAAAATGTGGACTCTGTTAAAGTTGCCTTTCTACTAATGGAGACGCTACTGAGATCGTGGCTTTGCTTTTTTATATTTTCATATTCATGCGTCTTGTGTAAATGTTCTTGCAGTATCCAAAGGGAAGAGACGTACAAGACCGGGATGAATTTGATTTTAATGATACCTTTACAGCTCCTTTGTATCGCATTAAGGTACATGCAGTTTTTCTTTTCTTTTGGCGGCCTCGCTTCTAGGTTTTCTAAAGTCTCACATATATAACAAACCAAATTATAATGTTTTTTGTGGGTGCAGGTGAATGCAATCCAGATGAAAGAGACAGTAGAAGAGAACACGAGTACAACAGAGAGAGTATTTCAGGACCGACAATACCAGGTTTGATTTCTTCTCTCCTGTTTCGATTTACCATATATTTGACATAACTGACTTTCTCCACTGCATCCTTCCCTTATTGCAGATTGATGCAGCCATTGTTCGAATAATGAAGACGAGAAAAGTCTTGAGCCATACCCTTCTAATCACTGAGCTCTTCCAACAGGTAACTTTCGTCATCTCTTTCCTCACGAAATCAAAGTATTGAGCCATGTTTTTTTTGCAGCTGAAATTTCCAATAAAACCGGCTGATCTGAAGAAGAGGATTGAAAGCCTGATCGATCGAGAATATTTGGAGAGGGACAAGAGCAACCCTCAGATATACAATTATCTTGCTTAGAACCTCTCTGTTGAACGCCTTTGCATTGCAACTTTTTGTTTCTTCTCTGTATATTTATTCACAACAATGACCGACGTTACACTGCATTGTATTTACATTACTTTAAAGCATAAGAAAAATTAGTTCAGAGTTTCTAAGTTTATACATCACATACAGCGCCGTGTCTGGGTGAGAACAATCTTAAATATAGAGCAAGGGTATAAAACTATTAGTTACTTTATGAGATGAAAGTATTGTGGGAGAGGCGCCATTTTTAAAAGATTAGATTTCTCAATTGCCACAGAGCTCCGGAACCGGGAAGTTCGATATGTGATCACTTGCAAAACCGAAGACTCGATGAGGCTCGAGAGGTTTTGAACCAGGTTCCGTCTCCTCATGTGAGTCTCTACACTAAGATGATCTCTGGATTCACGAGGAAAAATATATTGGTTGATGCGTTGACACGGTTCGACGAAATGCCTGTGAGAGATGTTATCTCATGGAGACTGCAGTGAAGCTGTTCGATGAAATGCCTGAGAGAAGTGTGGTTTCGTGGACAGATATTTTAAATGGGTTTTTTTAGGTTTGGTAAGGTTGAGAAAGCGGAGGGGTTGTTTTATCAGATGACTGTGAAAGATACTGCAGCGTGGAATGCGATGGCTCATGGGTATTTACAGTTTGGTAGAGTAGACGATGCTTTGGAGTTGTTTGATAAAATGCCTCGGAATAATGTGATTTCTTGAACGACGATGATCTGTGGGTTGGACCAGAATGAGAGGAGTGGAGAAGCTCTTGTTTTGTTCAAGAACATGCTGGATTGTTTCTTTAAATCCAGTTCAAGAATCGTGTAATTAATCACTGGCTGTGCAAATGCTCAAGCGTTTTATATGGGTACACAAGTTCATGGGTTTATTATCAAGTTGGGGTTTTTGTATGGGGAATATGTATCTGCTTCGCTTATAACGTTTTATGCAAACTGCAAAAGAACAGAGGATTCGAGGAAAGTTTTTGGCGAGAAGGTTCATGAACAAGTTGCTGTGTGGACTGCTTTATTGTCAGGTGATAGTCGGAACAGAAAGCATGAAGATGCACCAAGTGTTTTCTCAGAGATGTTGAGAAACAATATCTTACCGAATCAATCAACATTTGCTAGTGTATTGAACTCTTACTCTGCTTTGGGAACGTTAGATTGGGGCAAGGAGATGCATGGCGTTGCAATGAAACTTGGTTTAGGAACTGATTCCTTTGTTGGTAATTCTCTAGTTGTCATGTACAGTGACTGTGGAAATGCAGAGGATGCTTTATCGGGGTTCAGAGAAATCTCGAGGAAGAGCATTGTCTCGTGGAATTCAATCATTGTTGGCTGCTCGCAGCATGGACGTGGTAAATGGGCTTTTATCATATTCGGTCAAATGATTAGCTTCAACAAAGAGCTAGATGAGATCACTTTCACTGGCTTGCTCTCTGCTTGTAGTCACTGCGGGTTTCTACAAAGAGGAAGAAAGCTTTTCGATTACATGTCAAGAGGACCAAATCATATCGATAGAAAGATTCAGCACTACACTTGTATGGTAGATATCTTGGGAAGAAGCGGGGAATTGAAAGAAGCAGAGGAGCTTGTCGAGAGCATGCTTGTGAAACCTAATGAAATGGTTTGGTTGGCTTTACTCAGTGCTTGTAGGATGCATTCTGATGTAGACAGAGCCGAGAAAGCTGCTGCTGCCATCTTCAATCTGGACTCAAAATCAAGTGCGGCCTATGTCTTGTTGTCGAATACATATGCTTCTGCTGGTATATGGTCGCATGTATCGAAATTGAGAATTAAATTTAAAGCAGAGGGGGATATTGAAGAATCCTGGGAGCAGTTGGGTTGTGTATAGAGGGAAGAAGTACGAGTTTTTCTCTGGCGATCGACCAGAGAGCTTGAGAATGTATGAGAAGATGGAGTTTCTGAGAGAAAAGCTGAAGGAGCTTGGTTATATACATGATTATAGATCTGCTTTACATGATGTTGAAGACGAACAGAAGGAAGAGATGTTGTGGTATCACAGTGAGAGGCTTGCTATTGCCTTTGCGTTGGTTAATACAATTGAAGGAAGTACAGTCACAGTGGTGAAGAATCTACAAGTTTGTGAAGATTGTCACGCAGTGATTAAGCTGATTTCAGGAGTTGTGGGTGTGGGACGTGAAATTGTTTTAAGGGATCCAACTCGGTTTCATCATTTTAAGAGTGAGGAGTGTTCTTGTGGAGATTATTGGTAGACAAGCGAGCAGAGAAGGTTACAAACTTTGATTCTCTGATGTGAGAAACTTTAGATCTTACTAAAATATGGCTATGATGTCAAATCTACAGGTTTATTTGCAAATCCAGTTAAAGGAGACTCTCTGAGCTTCAATTAAGAGGATTCGGCATACTACTTCCTGAGAACAGTCAACCCCTTGTAATGCAAACATTCTTCCACAAGTTTGTGGAGGCAACACAAGCAACAATGTTTACTTGAGACTTGGGAAGCCATGAGACTGAACACAGCCAAGAGTGTGGAGATAGCGCTGTAGAGAAAAGTCCAGATACTATTTCACATGTTTGTGAAGCTGATGAAGAAAATGTTGTTAATGATGAATGCCATAAGACTGAGCAAAGTGACAATTTTTTAGGCAGCCATGTAGAGAATTAGAGATGTTCAGAAACAGCAAGCCAATGCGGGTAAGAATTAAGCATGAACTGAACAGAATACTTTTCTTTTATGTCTCACAATTTTTTTTTTCTGTTTTAGGATCTTGCATAATTTAGATTACGTGAAAACATTGAAAAAGTAATGTAGTGACTTATAGCGTCAACTAAGTCAACAAATAAGACAACTGGCATGTGGAAAAACCTGAAAAACAACGACCAAAATGGTAGCATCTGATATTTTCTCTTTTGATATTTAATTATTTATCTAAGCTGCCTCTGAGTTTCCTACTCTCTCTGTCTCTCTATGGCTTCTCCATCTTCTTCATCCCCCTCTTCTCGCAATTGGCGATACGACGTCTTCCCGAGCTTCAGTGGAGAAGATATCCGTAAAAACTTCCTCAGCCACTTTCTCAAGGAGCTGGAAAGGAAAACGATCTTTGCTTTTAAAGACAACGAGATGGAGAGAAGCCAGTCCATCTGGCCCGAGCTTGTGCAGGCCATTAGAGAATCGAGGATCGCCGTGGTTTTTCTATCTAAAAACTACGCATCTTCAAGCTGGTGTCTGAATGAGTTGTTGGAGATCATGAGGTGCAAGGAAGAGTTGGGCCAAATAGTGATTCCCGTCTTCCACGGTTTGGATCCTTCCCATGTGAGGAAACAGAACGGAGACTTTGGGAAGATCTTTAAGAAGACTTGCCAGAACAGAACAAAAGAAGTGAAAAATCAATGGCAGAAAGCGTTGACCGATGTAGCTAACATCCTCGGATTTCATTCTGAGAACTGGTAATAGTTAATCTTTTCTTGTATTTATTATATCTTTGAATAATATATTTATTATCATGTTTGTGTAATGATCTTTCTTCTTGTTAGCGCTGGTGAAGCTAAGATGATTGAAGAAATCACCAATGATGTTTTGGATAAACTGAATGTAACCGTATCAGAAGATTTTAGGGGGATTGTGGGCCTCGAAGATCATATGAAAAATATGAGTACATTATTGGATTTGGAATCCAAGGAGGTGAGGATGGTTGGGATATGGGGTCCTTCCGGAATTGGCAAGACTACCATTGCAAGAGCTCTATATAGTCGAGTCTTACGTCATTTCCAAGGTGGAATCTTCATAGACAGGAGTTTCATATCTAAGAGTAAAGAAATATATAGTAAAGCCAGCCCTGACGACTATGGGATGAAGTTGCACTTGCAAGAACAATTTCTCTCTAAACTGTTAGGCAAAGAGGGCATAGAGGTAGATCACTTAGGTGCGGTGAGAGAGAGGCTAAAGCACCGAAAAGTTCTTATCTTTATTGATGACTTGGATGATAAAGTGGTGCTAGACGCCTTGGTGGGTCAAATTCAGTGGTTTGGAAGTGGGAGTAGAATCATTGTGGTTACAACGGATAACCGTTTTCTAAAATCCCATGGGATTGATTGCATTTACGAGGTTGGTCTCCCATCTGGAAAGCTCGCTCTTGAGATTTTTGGTCGATATGCCTTCGGGAAAAACGCTCCAGATGAAGGTTTTGAGAAGCTCGCAGTTGAAGTTGTACAACTTGCGGGTAATCTTCCCTTGGCTCTTAGAGTTTTGGGTTCGTCTCTGCGGGGCATGAGCAGAGAGGAATGGATACATAGTCTGCCGAAATTAAAGGGTAGATTAGATGGGAATATTGAAGCAGTATTAAAATTCAGTTATGAAGGGTTATCTGACGAAGATCAAGCCTTATTTCGTCACATTGCATGTCTCTTCAATTTGGAGAAAGTTGATGATATCAAGCTGCTACTGGCAGATAGCTTTAAGAGTTTTGAAATTGGGCTTGCAAACCTAGTTGCAAGATCTCTTGTACATGTAAGATTGAATATTGTGGAAATGCACACTTTGCTACAACTACTGGGTAAGGAGATCGTTCGTAAACAGTCATACAATCCGGGAAAACGAGAGTTCATTGTGGACTGTGATGATGTTTGTGAAGTACTTTACGACTCTGGTGTAAGTTTTGTTCATAATTCTCAGTCTATAAGATAAAAACCATTTATTGGTAAAAAAAGATACGTTGTAGGTGGTTGTTAAGCTAATGAATGTCTCTTTCTTAACTTTCAGGGTACCAGAAGGGTTTTAGGTATATCACTAAATATAGATGAGATCATCGATGAGTTGCACATACATGAGAATGCTTTCAAAAAGATGGGCAATCTCCGTTTCCTAACAATTTTCACGAATAAATATATGCCCGACAAAAAGGTGCACTTACCTGACAGCTTCGACCATTTGCCGCCTAAACTCAAATTGTTATGTTGGGAAGGATACCCAATGAAAAGTTTGCCTTCTAATTTTTGTCCTCGAAGACTCGTCAAGCTCAAAATGAAGAATAGCAAGCTCAAAAAGTTGTGGGAAGGATCTTGGGTAAGTTTTGCATAGATTAAAATGGTTATTCTTTAACCGTTAGGTGACAATCATGCTAACTAACTTCTGCTTTGTGCTGCGTTTTTATTTGTTGAGCACAGAACCTAACATGTCTCAAGGAGGTGAATTTGTGGGGATCTGAAAACCTAAAAGAGATCCCAGATCTTTCCAGGGCCACCAATTTAGAGAAGCTTTATCTTAACTATCGTTTGAGTTGGGGGAAGAATCCTTCCTCTATGCAGAATTTCAATAATCTAACAAAGGTGGAAACCCATCCAACCCCCATTAACCACGAAACTACCAAAGGCCTCCCTGTCGCAGAGTTTTGCATGGATAAAGTAAAATTTGAGAAACTATTGGAAGGAATACAGGTATGTCTTTCAGAAAATTCACATTTAGTTAACCTCTTTTTACTAATCATTGGTCGAATTTGTTAAGTATAGTGTAGTGTTTAAGTTTGTTCAGGAGCTAAACTATTTTCCATATATACCATTATGATTATCTATATAAATAGAGCAAATTACTATTGGTTGGGTGAAGTGTTTAGTGTGAGGAAATGTTCTTCTATCAAACTTAGAAAAGTGAATATCAAATGGACCAATCTTTGTTAAATAGATAGAGGGAGTAGACTTCAAAAAAAAAAAAAAAGAGAATTGTTTGATGTGATTTCTTATAACGTCTCTTTTTCTTTTGGTTTAGCCGCTTATGTGCATGGGAACGATGCTGCCTGCGTCTTTGAAGGTGTTGTTTCTCTCAGATATCCCAAATATGGTGGAGCTTCCTTTCTCTATTCAGAACCTCAGTAACCTAACGGACATGAAGATTATAAGATGCATAGATCTGGAGATTCTTCCTACTGGAATCAACCTTGTCTCTCTGGAACGTCTCAATCTCAACGGATGCTCTCGCTTGAAAACCTTTCCTGATATCTCAAGAAACATCTCATCTCTTTATCTAGAAGAAACAGCAATAGAAGAAGTCCCTCCGTGGTCTGAGAACTTCTCTAAGCTCAAATATCTACTCATGCAAGGATGCAGTAAGTTAGAGTACGCTTACCTAAACGTTTCTAAACTGAAACATCTCGAGTTGGTTAACTTTTCGCACTGTGGGGCATTGACTGGTGCTGATTTGATCGGTTATCCAAGTGGCATGGCACTGGAAGGAGGGATTATTGGCACAGAGTTACAAGCCTCCTCTTCTGCTCCAGACAATGATGTCCCAAAAGTCGAGTTCAGTTTCATCAACTGCTTCAAGTTGGATGAAGAAGCTGTTCTTCAACAACTCTCTTATGAGAAACTCATCTTGTCCGGTGAAGAAATGCCGTTATACTTCACTCACCGAACTACAGGAACCTCTATGGCCTTCCCTCTTGTTCAGACCCCTCACTCTCCACCATTCTTCAGGTTTAGGGTTTGCGCTGTGGCTGTTTTCAACTCTAAGCTCACCTCTGGTGGTACCATTGGAGTCTTTACAAAGGTAAAGTGTCAATTCAAAAGCAGACTCGGAAGTTACTATGATTCCCCTTATCAACAGGACTACTTCTCGGTATATCAGAACGGGAGTTATCTTCTTTTACTAGACTGTGTTGTCCCTCTGAGGAAAGGCAATGCTACTCTAGCTGACATGGACTACGATTACGTGAATATACAGTTTCATATGAGTAGTAGTAAGTTCAAATTAAAAGAATGGGGTATACGACTCTGGGAGAACTGTTCGTCTGTGGAAAACCGACTTGGTAGTACAACCACTATTCCACAAATTTGTGAAGACGATGAAGACAATGTGGTTAAGTCTTTGATTCATGAGACTGAGGATGGTGAGGAGTGTGGAGATAGACGTAGAGAAGAAGGGAATACGGTAAGCATTAAGCATGACCTATACTATACACAATACCTTTTCAGGATCTGTTAGATTATAAATCACTCAGTTTTATTATTTTCTTTTTTTTTTCTGCAGACCACCTGAAGAAACTTTGATTGTGAATCTTTAGGAAACTCTGATGGCGATGAAACGAATCGTCGAGCCGGTTCTAATGGAGGACATGCAGGGATTCTTCACTGCCACCCTGGTTGGACAATCGTCTAGCCACTGACCAAAGAGTTTGGTTCACTGGTGATTTCATTCCCTGCCCTTCGGTTTCTATTTTTGATCAAGTTATGTTTTAGTCTATGAAAATTGACCTACGATTTGGGTAGACTAAGCGTTTATCTAGTGTCTGCTGCTCTATTTATTTATAGTTGCTGTAATCTTACGTGAAATAATATGTTTTTCGTCTCCTTTTGATTTTATTTGTGAAAGGTTTTGTTCCTACAAGAGATTTGAAAGTGTCCTTGTTTCTATGTTCTGAATCTAGTGTTAAAATTTAACTGATTTTGTTGGAAGTAGTGAGTCTGTTTCTGCTTGTGTCTCATTTCCTGAGGCTCTTCTGGTTTTTAATAATGAGTCCTTTAAGTATAACTTAGTTATACATCTGCTGTAAACTTGGACGATTGAATTTACCATTTCAGTCAAATCAGTTACTTGAGAAATTAAATCAGTTAATAGCTTATTGGTATAGTGACCACCACCTCACCATAATCATCAACGATATGATAATAATATATGGCTTAGGTTTCATGGCTGGTCAAAGTTTATTATGCATGGTTACTAAAGTTATCTCTGAATTGCAACGAAAAGATGAAGAAACCAGAGAGATTGATGAGTCTTGATTCTGTGGTTCTTTTAAGGCAGATTTGCAGATTTTATTCTCTATAAAGACAAAACAACTAATGCTGTGGCAGTTTGATTAAAAGTGCAGATACAGAGAAACAAAGCTCTTAAAATAGTTCTAATGTCAGGAGAAATCCCTTATGGAGAAGGTGAAGTTTGTCTTTAGTGTAATATTGGTTCAATGGGAAGATGATCAGAGTAGAATCATAAATTTCTCAACCCAAAGTGAGATTTTCTGCATCTGCAATCTTACAATGATTAATGCAGGAATCAGTTCTGAGATGGGTTATTCAAGGTAACGTTTGGGGATCCAAAACTAACTTGATCAATGCAGGAATCAGTTCTGAGATGGATTATTCAAGGTAACGTTTGGGGATCCAAAACTAACTTGATCGAGTTGAAATGTCCTTCTATTGAAGGTAAAGTTGAATTAGTGTACTAGTGAATGTGTAAAAGTGCAATTTTCCCAAAAAAAATTGGTGGACCTAATAAATAGTTTTGAGAGAATCGGACTAAATACGAAAACCAGAAAGAAAGTAAGGTCTTATCTTGATATTTAAGTGACCCCACAAAGAAATATAACAGACAATAAATCTCTCTCTCTCTCTCCTCTTCTTCTTCGGACAAAAGTGTTTCATTCAAGTTATCAAAGCTTTCATCTCAGATAATCTGCGTACGGAAAATTCGTCAATCTTCCCGTATGTTATTATATCCATCTACTCTTAAATTGATTTCATATCTGATTCCAATTCCAAATTTCAATTTTATTTTCTAGGGTTTCCAATTTTTGTAACCTTATCTCTCCAATTCAATTGAATTTCAATTTTTACAACAAAAAAAATATATCACTTTTCCTGTTTCAGGGTTTCTCCAAATCTGCAAGAGAGACACACAAAAATGGTCGAGCGTGGTAATAATAAACGAACTCATAACCGTAACACCAGAGACGACAACAACAATAGGAACCAAAAGAGAAGACTTTCACTCCAAACCGAAGAAAAACTCAACAGCAAAGACGATCTCGTCGTCTACAGAATCCTCTGCCCTAGTGGGGTCATCGGAAGCGTGATAGGCAAGAGTGGCAAAGTCATCAACATGATCAGACAAGAGACCAGAGCCAGAATCAAAGTCGTTGACCCTTTTCCAGGCTGTACCGAAAGAGTCTTAACGATCTATTGCACGGTCGTTGACAAGAAAGACATTGCTGAGATAGAGAACAGTGACCAGATCACCCCTTTGTGTTCTGCTCAAGACGCTCTGCTTAAACTCTATGAAGCTATTGTTGCTTCTTTAGCTGCTGCTTCTGAGAACACTAAGATAGGGAGAGATGATATTAGAGAGTGTCGGCTTTTGGTTCCGAGTAGTCAGTGTTCTAATGTGATTGGTAAAGCTGGTTCTACGGTTAAGAAGGTTAGGAGTAGAACTGGTGCTAATGTTAAGATTGTGTCGAAAGATGTATCTGATCCTTCGCATGCTTGTGCTATGGATTTTGACAACATTGTTTCGGTTAGTTTCTTGAAACCCTTTTTTCTTATTGGCACATGTTTCTTTTGCTAATGATGTTTCTTTATTAGATATCTGGAGAGGCTGAGTCTGTAAAGAAAGCACTGTTTGCTGTTTCTGCAATCATGTACAAGTTCAGTCCTAAAGAACAGATTCCTCTGGATGCAACTGTTCAAGAAGCTCCCGCTAGTATTATAATCCCTTCAGATCTTTCTATCTATCCACAAACCGGTTTATACCCGAATCAGGATCCTATCTTCCAGCATGGAGCCAATGTTCCATCCTTTATAGGGACATTACCACAGGGCTATGGAGAAACCGCAACGCCGGTTTTCTCTTCTTCTGCTCTTCATCATGGTACTTTTGGTGGTTCTTCGAGGCAAGAAGAGTTGGTTGTGAAAGTTCTCTGCTCTTCTTCTAACATCGGTCGTGTAATTGGGAAAGGAGGTTCGACTATTAAGGGGATAAGACAAGCAAGCGGGTCTCATATTGAGATTAATGACTCAAGGGCAAGAGTGAATCATGATGAAGATTGTGTTATCATTGTCACTTCTAAAGAGTCTCCTGATGATTTGAAGTCTATGGCTGTTGAAGCTGTGCTTTTGCTTCAGGAGAAGATTAACGATGATGACGAGGAGAAGCCTAAGATGCAGCTCCTTGTGCCTTCTAAGGTGATTGGATGTATTATAGGGAAGAGTGGCTCGATTATAAGCGAGATAAGGAAGAAGACTAACGCTAATATTCATATCTCGAAAGAGAATAATAAGTGTGCTGATCCAAATGATGAGCTCGTTGAGGTAACCATTCTTTAGAATCATTCAGCTTTTTTGCTTTTCTTAATTGGTCCAATAATGTTTTGGTTTAGATCTCTGGTGAAGCAAGCAATGTGAGGGATGCTCTTATTCAGATTGTTTTGAGGCTTCGAGATGATGTTCTAAGAGATAGAGAGACGACTGGTTCAAGGAACCAACCTCCTCCAGCAAGATCTGAGAAGAGTAGTTTCTTCTCTTCCGGGAGAAGTAATGCTGCTGCTCTTGCACTAACTCCATCTTTCATGTCTTCTGTTCCGCAAGTTGCTTCTGTAGATTTTGATAGGAGACCACCAGAGTCAAGCATACTTTCTTCGAGTGGTGGACTCTATGGTTATGGAAGTTTCCCGGTAACATCTCAAACCGAAACATCTCATTTTCTGTGTGTTTTCTTTAGCTCATAAGCTTTTTGTACAAACAGGTGGGGAATAACAGTTATGGATCCAACTCTTCATACTCTTCCACTAGATATGGAGGGTAAGTTTGCAGCTTCTACGAAAAAGTTAAGTCTCATTTTTTTAAAAATGTTTTTTTAACTTATCTTGTGTGTATTCACAGGTTGTCTCAGTCTACTACAATGGAGATTCGAATCCCTTCAAATGCAGTGAGTAAAGTAATGGGCAAAGGAGGAGGCAACTTGGACAACATACGAAGGGTTTGTTTTATTTAACATCTTTTTGAGTTTATCCTTCCTCGTTCCTCTCTGATCACCATAGCCTCAGTTAGTCTCTTTTCTCTCTTTCACATATAAACATTTTTTCACATGATGTGTGCGTCTCTCTTTCCTTCTCTCAGATATCAGGAGCAATGATAGAAATTTCTGATTCAAAAACTTCTCATGGTGATCGCATTGCTCTCATTTCCGGAACATCTGAACAGAAGCGTACTGCAGAGAACTTGTTCCAAGCTTTTATCATGTCCACTTGAATAGTTTCCCTCTGCCCCTCCCCCAAAATAAGGTGTCTTCCTGTCTTTCTAGCTCTCACTCCTTCCATCAGGCTCATTTGGATGGATATGTATTCTGTCACCAAAAACTTCCGATCCATCTGGTAGCTATTTGGTTTCTCATGCTATAGACATTTTATAGTCTTTTCAGGACCATTCTTTCTCCCTTCCCTTGCGAGCTGTTTGCTCAATAAATGATTATTATTATCTCTGTGCAATAAAAAGACAAATCGTTGTTAGTTCAATCAAGCTTTGCTTATTCTCTCTGCTTTGTGCTTTAGTCCAAAGCAGTCCTATCAGTTATGTGTTAGTTTTTCTGTCTCTACAAATCCCATGTCTCTCAGCTTCTTCATATGTGATGCCAAGTCACATCTCATCAAATCATGTTCTTCTCCAGAAATTTCTGCAGTGAACAGCCATAGCTTATATGCCTAGTGAACATCAATAACAATAGCTTTTTAGGTATTTTCTCCTTAAATGACCGGGATATTGCAGTCTGATAGTTTGGAATGTAATGGTTCTCTCAGTCTTATTTGGTCTAACTCCAGTTCATTGATTGATCTACAATCACTCTTTTTCCTGAAACATATTCCGTTAACTGCTGAGGTATCCTATCTCCATAACTTGATCATCATCCGATAGTGTGCTTGTAGTATACTAGGTTATGACTTATGAGTAGAGGATCTTAGCATTTTAGAACACGCAACATCTTAACTGATTTTAGGAATCAATGTCTTGAGTTTTCTGATTGTGTTGAGTTTTCTGCTTTAGCCTTTGCGGTGGCATTTATCCAGACAACCCTGGGGTTCAACGTAGTAACTAAATGTTGCTAGAAACCGGCAACAATCTTTTTATTTCTTCTGCTTTTAGCTTTTTGTGGTCTGATGGTTTTCGAATAAAAGCCTTTAGAACGTGCCTAAGCATCCCTTTGTATCTATCTCTACTTACCCGCTTAATCCCAACAGTCTTTCATCAATGTCTTAAAGCATCTTTATTCTATCAATCAAAAGTTCATTGAGGATATATTCTTAGAAACAGATAGAGTATGTTGATCCATTTGGAAGGTTTTGCAAAAAAAAAAAACGTATACGGTCATTGTAGTAGTTGTAGATTACGTTACGCAGCTGTAAAGTGCTTTTCAATTTTATTTTATTTTGTAATATAATGTGATTTACTGTTAATTAACACAGCTGGATGGTTTATATTCTTCTCATCTCTCCACTAAATAATAATAAAAAATCGTATAATTGTCTACATATACCATGAACGAAAATAAGGATAAACATGGGGAAGGTGGCAAAAGCAATTGAATTATCAAAGCTTATTAGGCAAAGAAGACACCAACACATTAGTTTCAGCTTTCTGTAGATAAGACCAAACCGAACTAAACCGTAAATCGATTTAATATTTTTCCTTTAAATTAATTGAAACAACTTTATAATGTGATTTTGCATCCCGAGAAATGATCACTTTCTTGGAAAACGAACAAAAGTTAAGAAAGAAAAGAGAAAAAAACATTTGCGTCCATTTCTGAAAGACTGTAATGGCAGCGACGAGACGTTTGATTCAGCGTGTGTCTACCAGGATTTCTAGTAACGGAGCACGGCGGAGCTATGGCGTTCTGCCAGAATCGAACTCAAAAGCTCCGTCATCTTCTTCTCAGAGATTGATGGAACTTGAATCCGAATTCAGTGCCCACAAGTAAAGCCTCCTTCTTTTTTTTTCTTATTTTTTCTTCAAAAGGTTTCGTTTTTTCTCTCCGATTTGGATATATCGTCGATGTAATCACTTCTGAAACTTCGAATCTTTCTGGCTTTCATCTAAATTCTACTCCTTTAAGTTTACAAATATGGATTTCTTTTATTGTTTTGGATCATAATATTTATTATTCCTCAGAATGAATGTTATTATCTCTGGAGTATACGAAACAAGGACCTTTGATTTTAATTGTGTTTCTATCTATTTTGTCTGGTTCGTTCTGTGTCCTAAAATGGATTTTTGCATACTTTCAGTGAAGCATAGGCTGAGAGCTTTTTTTATTATCAAATTTTAGTTTATTACTTGATGTACTTGCTAAGCTTTACTCTGTAAATTTTTATTTGTGTGTGTTTCTTCAATTTAGTTACCATCCTGTTCCGGTTGTGTTTTCTCGCGGAAATGGCTCAACCATATGGGATCCTGAAGGAAAAAAATACATCGACTTTCTTGCTGCTTACTCCGCTGTTAATCAGGTTAATGACTCACTCCTCCTCTGCTTCACTTAAACATACAACAATAGTTGGAAAGTTTCTTACGATGTTTGATTCTTTGTTGCAGGGACATTGCCACCCTAAGATCATCAAGGCGTTGCAGGAACAAGTGGAGAAGCTCACTTTAAGTTCACGAGCCTTTTATAACGATAAGTTCCCGGTCTTTGCAGAGCGTCTCACTAACATGTTCGGTTATGAGATGGTCCTTCCTATGAACACCGGTGCTGAAGGTGTTGAAACCGCTTTGAAAATTGCAAGAAAATGGGGTCACGAGAAGAAAAACATTCCCAAAGATGAGGTTATTTACAATATTCATACTTTTGTTTAATAAGAATCATTCTTGTTTGCATCAAACATGTTTAAATATTTGGAGAGAATGTTTTTTTGTTCTACAGGCTATAATCGTCTCTTGTTGTGGCTGCTTTCATGGTCGTACGTTAGCAGTTATCTCCATGAGCTGTGACAATGATGCTACTCGCGGGTTTGGACCATTGTTGCCTGGGAATCTTAAAGTTGATTTTGGTGATGCAAGTTCACTTGAGAAGCTCTTTAAAGGTATGAAAAAAATGGTTTCCTGCATTGAGCTTAATGAGTGGATCATGTTATTGTTATGATGATTGCAGAGAAGGTAGATAAGATAGCTGGATTCCTTTTTGAGCCTATTCAAGGAGAAGCTGGAGTAAGTATCCTTCCTTTTCTAGCAATAATAATCATTTTAGAGGATGAAATCATATTATTGGTTTTGTATTGCTTTGGGTTATAGGTTGTTATTCCTCCTGAGGGTTATTTGAAAGCTGTTAGAGAACTCTGTACCAAACACAACGTTTTGATGATAGCTGATGAAGTACAAAGTGGTCTAGCGAGATCTGGAAGGATGTTAGCTTGTGACTGGGAAGAGATTCGTCCTGACATGGTGGTATGTTGTTTTAGTTTTTCGATATACTTCCATTACATAGCGTAACCAAAATCATTTGAGTATGCTTTTTTTTGAAAGATACTTGGGAAAGCATTAGGTGGAGGAGTGATTCCAGTGAGTGCAGTGCTTGCTGATAAAGATGTGATGCTTCATATCAAACCTGGCCAACACGGAAGGTTCTCATAAAGCGTTATATTTTCTTAGTAACATAACATTCATCACTCTCTGATAAAGGTTGTTCCCTTTTTTTTGTAATCAGCACATTTGGTGGGAACCCTTTAGCTAGTGCTGTTGCTATGGCTTCTTTAGATGTTATCGAGGAAGAGAAACTCGTCGAAAGGTACCATTTTGACATCCTAAATGGACTTTGGGTTCTTTGGATTCACATTTCTCAGTTCTTGAATCTTGTATAGATCAGCAAGTCTTGGAGAAGAACTGAGGACTCAACTGAATGAAATCAAGAAACAGTTTCCTGATTACATTAAAGAAGTAAGAGGAAGAGGATTGTTCAATGCGGTTGAGTTCAACAGCGAAAGCTTATCTCCTGTTTCAGCTTATGATATTTGCTTGAGCTTGAAGGAGAGAGGAGTGTTGGCTAAACCGACTCACAACACCATTGTCCGGTTAACTCCACCACTCTCCATAAGGTAAAATATAAAACAGCTAAACCAGTCTTGTTTCATTAGCGGTTTTAGCATTGGTTAATTAACTGAACCAGTTATTGATTGTTATTTTTTTTTTTGGCAGCTCTGATGAACTCCGAGAAGGCTCCAAGGCTCTTCATGATGTTCTTGAGGTCGATCTTCCAAATCTGCGGAAAATCAATGCTGGTAAAACTCCGGTTTCTCACTTAACCGAGTGTGATCGCTGCGGAAGAAGCCTCTATGCTTGAACCAGACCGGAACTTGATTAGGGTCTTGTTTAAATTGATTTTAAAGAATGTGTGTATCTTGTGATTTCATAGAACATAACTCTGGTTCGGTATAGCAAAGATAAGTACGTCTAAGGCCGAACCGGGTTGCACCGAGCTCGGTAGAAATAACTTTGGCTAATTTCTGGTTTGGCATTGAATAAAACCGAGTTGGTTGTTTCGACATTTATCGGTTTGGCAGTTACATTTCTGTTAAGAACTCAAAAGAAGATATATATACTAAATTATTCCCAAGGCCTTTTATTTTGTTTTTATTATTCTAAATTTGACTTCAATACTTACAGTAAAATCTCTTTAAATTAATATATATTAAATATTTTTTATAAAATACTATAATTTTATAATCTTAAATTAAATTTTTGGTTCAATTAATATATCAATAAATTAAAAATTTCTATAAATTAATAAATAATTATAGTTTTGGTATAGTTCCAACATTATTAATTTATAGAGGTTTCATTATATTAAAGATCATTTTCAATGTATTGTGAAAATAAGATCCTTTTTAATTTAGAAGTATTTCTAAGACTCAAATTAGAATAATTTATTTGGATCAAGAGTTTGTTGCTAATATTTTATTTTAGTTTTTAAAATAGTGGACAAAAATCTTGTATTTTCATCAGATTTTTGTATTTCCACTGCACCGTTTGTATTCATGTACTCTCCTTATTAATGGATGAATTAATGTGTTTATCCACGTGTTGGCATGTGTATGTGGATATTGATATGGGACATGAAATCATGAATACACATATGCTTGTCTTCTAAAATTGCCCAACCCAAACATGTTGAGGCGTGAAGCCCCATATGTGGTTGGCTCCCGAATATTTAATTATCCATATCATGACCTGATGATAATTTAATAGTATGTAAATTTTATACCAGCAAATGACTCGATTTTGGTATGGAGAATTTTGCTCATTAGAGGGAAAAAACTTTGATGTATTTAATAGTCACATGTCGTTGTATTTCAAGAAAACGCCGAGGCGTGCAAATCGGAAAAGCACACATGACAGAACGTGCATATTAGTTGGTGAGGCTGTCCTGATTGGCAATTGGCATCTATCAGCACAAGACTTGTCTAGTCATGAGTGCTTTATGCATCTCATTGGTCACAATATATTGGTGATTTAAAGTTAACTAGATTTTAAACTACGTGCTCAGATATATATATATATTTTTTTATAATTATATATAATTTTGGTGACAATCTGATTAAATATATTGTTAGAATTTTGTGTGTTTATATTATATAACTTAATATTTTTTGTTCGATATTATTAATATATATTTATTATAATTTCGTCATATTTTTGTATGAAACAACATATATTAATATATAATTTATTTGTATTTTAATAATTTTATTTAAATTTAAATAAATATATATATATATAAGAATCAAATATAATAATTTATCATTTATTAAAACTTATTTAATGATTTTTTATTTATTTTAGATAAGCTAAATTTCTTTTATTTAACTTATAAACATAAACATCAACTGTACACTAAAAATCATATAATTAAAAATATTATTTATAACTTTTATAATTTATTTTTATTAAATTTAAATTTATTTTTATTAAATTTGAATTTATTTTTCTAATTTTTATATTCTAACTTCATAAATTAAAATACTATATTATAAAATATTAGAATTTATTTAAAATTTAAAAAAGTATTTATTTCTAATATTTGATATTAATTACGAATTTAATGAATTATTTAAAATTAATAAGAAAAAAAAATTCTAAGATTTTGTTAAAGTAAAATAGGAAATCTTCAAAAATAAAAAGTGATATAGTAGAATATTTTTATGTGGGATAGTATATTTTATTCAAATGATCTAATACATAAATATTAAGTTAATAAAATTATTAATGAAATGGTTTAATGATTTTTTATCAGTAAATAAAAAGGATTATATTTTATTCAAATGATCTAATATATAAATATCAATTTAATAAAATTATTAATGAAATGGTCTAATAAGTTTTTATCAGTAAATAAAAAAGGATTATATTTTTATAGATTAGATGAAATCGTTAGGATGTGCAAAGGTTGGATAAACAATGTTTGATAATAATCGGTCGAATAGGTAAGATATCATCTATATTATTTTGTGGAACAAATATATCACCTACTATGTATGTACTTTTCTTATGTATAGTAGAAAATCTAATTCTCATAAACTTAAGCTGTATGTCTAGTGATTAAAGTTTAAATCCATAATTTTAAATTTACATGTATTTTTAATCAAACTAAAATTTTATATAAAACTTTACAAATATTTTAACTCTCTTAAATAAAAATAGACTAACTTTTAATTTAATTTTAAAATTCAAATCTATAAATTTATCGAAAGGTGTCAAATAAAATCTGAAAATATGATTAGTAAAACTATATACTTACTTAGATTTATATGTTCAATATTAAATTTCTTTTGTCAACTACTATTTGAGAAGATTACTTCTAGTGATTTCGCCATAGTCAAACTGGAATACCTAAATGACGTTAATAAAAAAAAAAAAATCATTTCCCCTCTTCACACATCACACACACACGCGCGCGAAGACTCGAACCACGCGCTGAAATAAAGACAAAAAAATAAAAAACTCGTGTATCTGTCTCCTCCATCCATTTCTATCTCTCCCTCTCTCCCGAAACTTCGTCATACACATTATCTTTCTCCACACAGATTCTGATTCGAATCCCTTTTCCTCCTCTCAAACCCTAGAAAAAAAAACAAATCGAAAGATCCAAAATCCAAATGGCCGTTACTCCACCTCCACGAATCCACCCGGAACCGCCACCACAACAAACCCTAGACCAACAAATCGACCACTTCGACCACCTCCCAGACTCAATCCTCCTCCTCATCTTCAACAAAATCTCCGACGTCAAATCCCTCGGCCGCTGCTCCGTCGTCTCCCGCCGATTCCACTCCCTCGTCCCTCAAGTCGAGAACGTCGTCATCCGCGTCGATTGCGTCATCTCCGACGACGATACCTCCTCCCTCTCCTCCATCAAATCCCGCTCCGGATCCTCCTCCTTCTCCAGCGTCTTCCGCCTCGTCTTCTCCGGCATTGTCAAGCCGTTGCAAGCGTTGGGGCAGTTCCTCGGCGCGAAGAGATCTTCTTCTTCGTCCTCTTCTCTGTCTGTTACTGGAGAGATCGAGCAAGGAGGAGTAACGCATCACTCTCCTACTCAGGTTTTAAAGAGCTTCGAGGAGATTCGTTACTTACGGATTGAGTTACCTTCCGGAGAGCTCGGAATCGATGACGGAGTCTTGCTTAAATGGAGAGCTGAGTTTGGTTCAACTTTAGATCACTGCGTGATTCTCGGCGCTTCTTCCGTTTCTCAACGCGTTGACGTTGACACTACAACAACCACAACCGTTGAATCATCATCTACCGACGATACTGGGAGTATTCCGGAGTCTTTCTACACGAACGGAGGTTTAAAGCTACGCGTCGTATGGACAATCAGCTCTTTGATAGCTGCATCAGCGAGGCATTACTTGCTGCAACCGATCATAGCGGAGCACAAGACGCTGAGGAGTTTGGTGCTTAGTGATTGCGATGGGCAAGGTGTGCTTTGTATGGATAGAGAGCAGCTTGAGGAGCTTAGGGTGAAGCCGTTGTCGGCTTCCTCGGCTTCGAAGAGGACCATGGTGCCTGCTTTGAATATGAGGCTGTGGTATGCTCCGAGTTTGGAGTTGCCTGATGGGACTGTGTTGAAAGGTGCGACTTTGGTGGCGATTAGGCCGAGTGAAGCTAAGAAGGATGTGTTGTCTGATGTTTCTTGGGTTTCTTCGGGTGCTTTTGAGGAGCCTTATGAGGCGGCTGTTAAGATGTTGGTTAAGAGGAAGACTTATTGTTTAGAAATGAACTCGTTCTAGCTTGATGAATCTGAGGTAAGTTGATATGATTATGTAATGATTTGAGCAGTTCTGCATTGGTTAAGCTTATAAGATGATTAACGTTATGAAACTGAAACTATCACTATTTTTTGACTGCATTGATTATTTAAGCATTGTGTTCACAGAGGGAAGAATTTGTGTTATCTTCACAACTTTTCTTTGATGTTTTTAGAAAGAACAAAACTTCTCATTGTTTTTGATTTCTTGTTTGTTAGGGAACTTGATGGCGATTCGTGATGATTATTACATATAAGTGCTATAATGAAGGGTGCAGAGAATGGGCTAAAATCCAGTTTTGATGAATCCAGAAACCAGTTTTGCTTCGTACTGCATCTGCTAGTTTATGCTTTTGCAGGGTTTTCTCAATCATATACCAACAGATCAGTTATTATCATGTAAGGTTTGTTGTCTGGTCTTTGTTAGTTACTTAAAAAGTCTTTGAGCTTTGCTTGTTCTTCTCTCTTATGTAAATATTGTAGTTACGAGAAATACATTTGCTTGTTATTATTAAAGTTATTTAAAACAGAGCAACTTGTAATGTTTATATTAGAATTGTATAAAAGCAACTTGGTGTTTGAATGTTTATATCATAATTGAGCATCTTCAAATTGCCATTTGTTTATGACAATTGTCATGTGCTAAGAGTGATGATATGTATTATCTTATTTCACACGACATTAGATTATAGAAGCATAAGCTTTATTATATTCAAAGTATACGGTGATATGGATAATGTTAACAAGCTGGACCCATATTTGGAAGGGCATGAGGGGAGGTGGACAAGTTACATCGTTATTGTGTTTGTTTAAACATATAATGATTATCAGCCTGATGATTATGTCCAACTTTAGACTTCTTACTTTACCTGATTAAAAAAAAAGATTTCCTACTTTACTGTCAATTGCGTTTACTCAAAAGTTTTATAAACCTTTCTCAGGTATTGTTCATTACATATTTAGTTTTCTTCGGTCTCTGAATAATAAAGAGATTTAATTACAAAAATAAAAACAATCTATATTATAATGATTCACTTTTGAAGCTCTTAAGGCTATCCACCTCAGCAAGTTTACGGGTCCCACATGTGTTATTAGGGAAAACAAAAACGTATAACATTTTGTAAGATTAAATGTTATCGATGAGTGATGAAATGGCTCAGTGGTGTAAGTTGGTGACTAGAAGTTGGTACCGCGAGTGTGCGGGTTCGAAACGCAGTGTTTGCATGTAACTTTTTTTTTAATTTGGACTTTTCGAGATACCTAAACGCTTAGGGAGATTCATAATGATTTTTTATGCTGGTTGTTGGGATACAAAATGGCTTAAGGATTTGAAACTTTATGAGACCATCTTAGATACTTTTATACGAAATGTTATCATGTTCTTACCTCCAGTATCATTTCAGTTCAGTTATAATAATCAAATAAAATAAAAACATATTTTTTCAATAATAAATATTTACCCCGAACCATTCAGATCGGCCATAAATCTCATATACATCACAATTAAAAAAAAAAAAATATATATATATATATATATATATATATATATATAACATAATTTCAGAAAGAAAATTACACTAATAAACACATGTCCTTTTTTGTCTTGTCTCCATTAATTATTTTTTTACATGAAATCACTAATAACAGTAATGCTCGATAAAATCACTAATAAAGGGAATGCTCGATAAAATCACTACGAAGATAAAATATGAAAATATCAACCCATATGAATTTGATGTTTATTCTTTTATCAGACTAATCAAATTGTGTGACTTCTAATGTTTCATTCATCACCATTATAGATAAGCCAAATAAACAAATGTTAAAAAAGACAGCAAAGTCTCATACACAAAACTACACAACACATCAACAATGTATCCAACCCCCGCGCGCGGGGACTATGCATCTAGTCATAATAATATAAAGAGATTTTGGTTTTATGCAAACGCTGAGCAGCATCAGAACCCTCTTGTCACGCTCTAATCTATTTTCCCTTCTTTCCGCTTCTTTGTTTCTCGCTCTCCGAGCGGATGCATTGGACTTTGATTAGTTAATTAAAAGGAAAATTCAATAAAACCAAAGCCTTATTTAGTTCTTCTTCCCGTGTGTAACCTGATTCAGACACAAAACATAAACAGGAGGACATTCTTACCAGTCTTTGCAAATGGTTTCTCTGGTTTGGTGAATTCCTCTAGCGAAAACATAAACAATCAGAGGACAAAGGAGAAAAGAAGGTTACGTGTATCAGAGCCCAAGCCCAATGTGTCCAAGCACTGACGAGAAAGAAAGGAGCAAAAATCTAGTAATGCAATAGTTTTCTTTTTTGTTGCCTAAAATAGCTATAGATGTCATGAAGCCCAACATTCATTGTTCGGGCCGAAAATAGAAACATAACGGAGAAATCAAATGTTGATGACGGTTATACCCTTTAGTAAACCTGGTAATTTACATTTGTTGCCACTCTTAAACCTTTCCCTATTATCCTCCGCCTCGTCTCTCCCTCTCTCTCGTTAGTCACTCATCTGGTTCTTCTGCAACGAATCTGTTTTTTTTCTCCATCAATAACTCGTAAGTTACCATTTTCAGAACATATATAATCTCTTTTGATAGGATTATTTTGTTATATATCATTGACCTTAAGATAGAAACTTTGTGATTGTAGACATGGCGGCAGCTTTAGCTTCAAGAATCTCCCGTGGTAAGATACTAGCTCTACTTCCTTCTTGTTCTGATCTATTTTGAACCACAATTTCTGTTTTCTTATTATTTATTGCTAAAAGTGTTTTAGGTTGCAACTTTCCAGCTTTTGATAAACTGTGGAGTTTTAAAAGTTATGATGAAATGACATTTAATTTTTCTATTCTTTAATGCTTTTTTTGTATCTTAATGGATGATTTCGAAAATTCAAAAAAATTTAAAATCAAAAGTTTCTATCTTTGTAATTATTTTTGAAAGACTGATTCAACTGATTGAACAGTTGTTGTTGTTGTTGCTCAAGATCTGTTTTTTTTTTTGTTTTTGATTCATACATTAATAATGAGTAGGAGGACGGTCATTACTTGGAGGTCTTAAGAATAACTTATCTGGATCATTGACTTCTTCCAATGGAATGATGAATGAAAGTATCCTCCTTTCTCAGGTCAGAAACCTTCTTCAAGTTTTAATTATTTTTTTTGGTTTGATCACAATGGATGTTTTAATGTCTGAAAGATTTTTTCTTTCTTTCTTTTGTTGTTTGTTAATATTGGTGGAAGCATCAGCAGCAACAGAGAAGGACATTCATTCAAATGGGAACGATTCTCAAAGTTGTGGACAACTCCGGAGCCAAGAAAGTGATGTGTATTCAAGCTCTAAAGAGTAAGAAAGGAGCTAGGCTTGGTGATACGATCGTTGCTTCGGTGAAAGAAGCGATGCCAAACGGTAAAGTGAAGAAAGGAGCTGTTGTGTACGGTGTGGTTGTGAGAGCTGCGATGCAGAGAGGTCGTGTTGATGGAAGTGAAGTTAGGTTTGATGATAACGCGGTTGTTCTCGTTGATAATAAAGACAAGAAGACTAAAACTGATCGGCAGCCGATTGGGACTAGAGTGTTTGGTCCTGTTCCTCATGAGCTTCGTAAGAAGAAACATCTCAAGATCCTTGCTTTGGCTCAACACATTGCTTGAGACAACCGAAACATAAAACCTTAAACCACGTAGTGTCTTCTTTTTTTTGTGTTATTCTTTTTTTTCTATGGTAGTTTTAGAGGTTGAAACTTTAAAAGAGTGCACACTCCCCAGCTCTTTGTCCTTTTTTTTTGTTCACGAAATACAAAACTCATAATAAAAAAACGGAAACATTTCAGAAAATATTGTTACGATTTTGGTTTGGATTAAGTTATAAGAGTTGCTTACATCTTTTCTTTTTCTTTTTTTTTGGTCAGAAAATATATACGGTATCTTAACTTGAAGAAGTTGGCAATCCTAGTCCCAAACAAGATTTTGCATTGCCTGATTCAAGAAAAGTCCCGTACTTACGTTTCAGAAACCAATCTAATCCCACAATGATTCTCAATATGCATCATAATTACATTTGTCGGCCATCTAGGCCTGAGTGCACCTGTTGGAGCTTGGTTTGGAACTAGAAGTCATTATTGATGCATGTGCTAACTGTTATTATGCTCCCTACGTTTTTGGTTACTACTTACTACAATATAAAAAGCCAATGAAGTAAATTAAACTCGGCCAGTTGACTAAGAGGCCGTCAGAAAAATATGTCGACATAGAAAAACAAAAAGAAGAAAAAATCAGGTATGAAAGGAGAAGATCTAGTTCAATAAGGACACATTCACAAACACACAAAAGTCTATATGAGAACTAAGGTTTAGTTAGCTTTACTTGTTCGTACCAAGTTCTAGGCTCTCTACGATTTCATCACCTTTTCTCTGTAATTGTTGAATCCTAGAATTCACTCAAAAATAGGGTTTGTGTTTTCGGTGACTTGCAAAATAGTTATCTAAAAGTGGAAATTCGGAGCTATGATCAACTATGGAAAATGTGTGTATTATTGATAATGAGATTAAAAATAAACGATTAATACATAGGGTATGTGTGCACTAAGATTAAAGTTTAGCTATGGAGAATATCTGATCCCCATTTCTTGGCTTCTCCTTTTTCTTTTAGATCTTTGGAGGTGTATCGTACTGGTCATGTGATCTCCGGCATAGCTCATGTGTCTTTATTAGGCCTGCGACTTCGGTTTTCCGAAACCGAACCGACCTGATTTTTCGGTTATCGGTTATCCGAATTTCGGAATATATTTCCGAAGAAAACCGAATTTAAATTCGGTTCGGTTCGGTTCGGGTATCGGTTATTAATAAAATTTTATTTAATTCCGAGAAAAACCGAAAAACTTAATTTTGGAAAAAAATGGTTTAATCGGGTAAAATCGGTTATTTCGGGTATTATCGGTTCATCTCGAGTATCGGTTATCTCCGGTTTATATGATTATGGCTCTGTTTTCACCTGCCAAATCAATTAAACCAAACAATGAACAACAAAAAAAAACAAAGAACCTGAAAACCAACTTATAACCAACTAACCAAGTTTAAACATCCAAAAGAGATCACTCTCAAACATGAAAACACAAAAAAAAAGACAACAATCTGAATCTATATCTCTTTTCTTAAGATCAAAGATCTAAGTTTGAAAGATATATAGATTCACGAAGTTCAAAAGGATGTTGTCCAAAATAAAGAGATAGATAAGTTGGTTTTGAATGTTCCTAGTTCCAAGCCACTCCAACCTACAAGTAACATGTTCATGAAGTAAGAAGACATGTAATAAACGATTAGAGATAGACAAGAAACATTACAAATCAGAGAGAGTAACAAATTACCTCTAATTATCAGATTCACCAGAAATTTTCAAAGACTCTACATAATATCAAATGCAGTAAGAACTTAGGACTCTCAGCATTAAAAAAATATATGCAAAATAGTTAAGAATTAAGATGATTACCTAATGATTCATGAAAATCCAACTCTTCAAACATCTGAACCAAGCTTGAAACCTTCTCAGCCTGGATGTTGTTTCGAAGCCACTGTTGTAAGCAGACAAGAGCTTCAATCATGTATGGAGTGAGACAGCTCCGAAAAAGATCTAAAATCCTACCACTCGTACTGAACGCTGACTCGGAAGCAACAGAGGAGACTTGGATGGCTAGCACATCCTTTGCTAGTTCACACAAGACTGGAAACTTACAAGAGTTCTTCTTCCACCAAGATAACACATTGGTGTCTAATCCGAGATTGTTTGTTCTTCTTGGTATTGGTTTTTCCATCAATTAAATGTCCAGCTCACTACTGGATTCTTCATGTGCTGCCTCTGAAACCATCTCTGAATACAAAGAATCTCTGCTCTCATAGTCCTCATCATCGTCATCAGAAATATCAAACAAGTTACCAACTTCAACTTCCCCCGAAACGATACTGTTTTTCTGACTCTCACCTTGCGATTGAGGGACAAGCTTGCTCAGATACTCCTCATACAACGATTTCATCAGTGCTCTTATTGAGGTTCTGAGATGAGCACTCTCCACACTATCCTTACCATAGAGCTTATCAAAACAGATAGAAGCAAACTGCATCTTGTTCCTTGGAGCGAACACACTTGCAATGATGGTCAGCGGGTTCATATTGAAAAGTCCATCCCAATACTTCTCAAACTTGTTTCAAATCTCCCTTGCTTGAATCTGTAGAACCCCATCCCTGCTATTGCTCAGTGCAATCAAATTCCTCTCGATTATCACAATCTCATTGTAACAAATGGTAGATGTCACTGTCTTCGATGCTGAGAACGCCAAGGTGCAACCAAAGAAGATTTTCAGAAATTTCACTAACCTCTGAACCTCTTCCCACCCTTCTGAAGTCGGAGGTCCAACTCGTTTCTGTACATTTTCCTCTAACTCCATAAATATCATTATACAACATGTCTTCGGCTTTGAGCTTCTCAAACGCAACCTTGAACTTCAAAGCAGCAAACAGCATGAGATAGGTGGAGTTCCAACAAGTTATACAGTCCAAAGATAAGCTCCCTCTACTAACCTTTCCTGTCAGCACCCTCAACTGAAACGACTGCAACCTTGTACCCGATGATCTCACATACTTCACCACGTTTGTAATAGCCATGACACTCTCTTTGACCTCAGATAACCCATCCCTAACGATCAAGTTGAGAATATGTGCACAGCAACGCATATGCATCAATGAACCATCCTTAACTAATGCATTCGGGCCTATCCCCCTACATCTTTCTGCAAACAGTCGCAGAGCCTTATCGTTAGCCTTAGCATTGTCTACTGTCACCGTGAAGACCTTATCTATACCCCAATCAGAAATACATAAACTCAAATGCTCAGATATAGTGTCACCTTTATGATCCGTGATAGGCTTGAAACTGATGATCCGCTTCTGCATTTCCCAGTTCCTATCAATCCAATGGGCTGTGACGACCATGTAGCTGTATGATGTCGTAGGAGCCACCCAAATATCTGTGGTAAGAGACACTCTCTGCTTCTCATCAGTAAACAACTGCTTCAACCTAGCTTTCTCCAACATAAACATTTTAAAAATGTCTTCTGTTGCTGTTCTTCTGCAGTGAACCATGTACATCGGCAAAACGTTGTGACAGAACCTCCTAAACCCTTCAGACTCGACAAAAGAGAATGGCTCCTCATTCAGAACTATCATCTCGTTCACTGATCTCCTGAACAAGCTAGCATCATACTTCACGGTTTTCAAAACACCACAACTATCTCCACTTAACACCTGCTGTTTTCCAGATTCGTTGTAGACTTGGAACATCTTACATCGACCAATGTGATTCTTCATTGCACTTGTCCCACTCTTCTTCGAGTCACATCCAATCGCTTGGCCACAGTAACGGCAGTTGCTGATGCTTGGATCATATTCTCTTTGAATGAAATGTTGCCATACGTCTGCTCGGTGGGCTTGCTTTTTCTTTGCAGCAGGAGGCAGATCAGTGCTTGACCTCTCCGAAGCAGGTCGTTTCTTTCCACCTCCTTGATCAACATCTTTAATGTCTTCTCCAAAGAACTCATGGTTATCTTCACAAGCTGACGTCTACAATCACAAGATAAACATTTTAGAAATTTAGAGCACACAAAACATATATACAAAAGTAACAAAAGTACAAAACTAACCAAACATCAGAGAGAAGAGAAGTGAATATTTAACACTAATATCCTACAATATTATTCAAAAAATCACTAGAATGTTCATATTATCACAATATGACTATCAAAAAACACTAATCCCCAATTTTTTAAAATAAAAAAGTGAAAACCCTAAAATCTAAAATCAGCCCTAACTCAAATAGATAACAAAAACTCAGAGAGAAGAGAAGACCACAGAAAATCACAATCTCTGAATCAATTTACACAGAAACTCAGAGAGAAGAGAAGACATGAGAACTAACCTTGTCACCTTGTACTCGAGATGATATAAATCAGCAGAGAAGAATCAGAAGATGGTCTGGATTGAGAATCAGACAAAGCTCGATCAGAGATCGTGTTTGAGGAAGAGAGATTAGGAGAGGCGATTAGGTTACGCCGTTTAGTTTTAGATTTGTCGACACTTAGATTAATTCTGTTTTAGATTGTATATATAGTTAGGTTAAATTCGGTTATCCATTCGGTTATAGAGAAGTAAACCGAACCGATGTCAAAACCGATTTATATTAAAAGCTTTGCCGATCGGTTCCTCTCCATGAACCGGACAATAACCGATATCCCTAAATGTCGGTTCGGTTCGGGGAAAATTCCCATGACTAGTCTTTATGATGGGTCTTTAATGCCTTTGATTCCTTTACGTTTTGCTTTGATACACCAAGCTCAGCGTTTGAGACTCTCTCAACCGGATGGGCCTTGACATTTGTGGGCTCCTCGTTCCTTCTAGGCCTCGACGATGCTTCATATGAGCTCTATTATGCTTGGTTGAGATCTCGTACGCGGGTTGAAACCTGCTCCAATAATAGCCCTCCAAATTCTGGTGTGTCTCAGGTTCTCAAGTGAACCGGATATTGAATCCAACTCGAATGGTGTATTTGAGGCTGTCAATGTATGTGCCCTAAGGCAACCTATGCGAGTTGCACCTCGTTGTGCAAATGTTTTAAAAATGAAACCTAAGTGACTAATTGCAGATAGTTTTGGTAGCTAAGTTTCTTCCTTCTATCCTCAGCTTTGTACTCTTCTAAGGGCAGTCCAGTATATTTTTTCCTGTAAGTTTGAATCTTCCATTTTCCTCTGTCTTGCCTTATTTTTCAGCATTCAAATTCATATTTCCCAAAAAAATTCATAATCCGTTGTCTTCCATTATCCTGTCGAAATATTATAAACCGTCACTAATACTGGACCGTCTTTAAATCCTTTGATTCTTTCATGTTTTGCTTTGACTCACAGAGCTACTCAGAGTGGACCTTAACTTTCGTGAACCAATAGTTCCTTCTTGAACCTCGACCATGTTTAATTTGGACGCTATTATGCTTGGTTAAGATCTCGGACCAGGTCTAAACTGAGGTTAACTCCAAAAGTAATTGCCTTTGATCAATCAGTAAACGTTTTTAAAATAACTCACTATCAACTTTTTGTCTACTTTCTTTACTACCGTATCACTACAAAAAAACTGACGATTTTCTGACCAATTTGATTCGTCAGAAAATTTCTGACGACTCTCTAACAAAATATAAAATCGTCAGAAATTTCCAATCGTTTTATATTTCGTCAAAAATTTTCAACGGAATGCCAATTCGTCATAAATTTTTAATCGATTTTCTAATGGAGTACCAAACCATCAAAATTTCGTCAGAACTTTCCAATGGATCTATGCAGTTGGAAATTCTTGACGGATTTATGCGGTTAGAAATTTCTGATGGATCTATGCAGTCAAAATTTTCTTTTGATTTTCAAACAATTTGATTAAACAATACACATTGGAGTAATAGCACATGTAGTGTAAGATCACACCACAAACATAGGTAAGCACATGGTCATGTCCAAATAAGATACCTTAAAAGGTCTTATACGAGTATCATTATGCAGGATTTTTTAGAAACTGTTAAGAAATTGTTTTTTATATTCCCTTAAGAACTCCACCCTAAAACATCTTGATACTCTAAGTGTAAAACAAAAATTTTCAAATCATGAGTTAAGAATTCCGGTTAAGAGACCGGGTTAATCATGTCCTAAGACCATGATTAACCACAGTCTCTTAACTGGAGTTTTTAGCTTTGAGTAAGAGATGATTCTTAGTTTTTCTTAAATAAAAGATACTAGATGGACGGCCCGCACGCCTGTGCGGACATTAATATAATCTATACATTGTATGAATAAAAATAATATAAATGTATAAATATATTGTAATTTTCTTTCTCTTTTACATAGATACTCTGTTTTTTAATATATTTTTCTATTTTACTCATTTCGTTTCTCCTTGTATTTTTTCACATATTCGTTTTGTTTCTTATTTATCTCTCTTTGCATTATTTTTGTATGTCTTTGTACACCTCTCTCGCTCTCTTTTTTCTTTCTCTCTCTCTCTTAGTTGATCAAATAATCTCAAAATCTCTCAAACTTACATTCACTCTCTCACAATCACCTATATTCATTCTCTTACCCTCGTCCCTAATATGATCCTCAATATTTCATTTTAAAACTCTTTCTATCTCTTTTTGGTTGTAAAATTTTCACCAGATTTTGTTAATCTTCTAAACACTTTGACATAGTATTAATAAATGATTTCAGAATCTATCTCACTTATATTCAGTCTCTCACTTATATTATTTTTCATCTTCATTATGATCATAATCGACTCTCTGATCCTTATCATCATCATATCTCCTTCTCTTTCTCCCTTTCTTACATATTTTTTTATTTAGAATTTAATATAAAATTACAATTGACTAACCAAATAAATTCATTATCAAATTCTCTCCAATGTTCACACTATCTTATCAAACATTGATTCCTTTGACCAAGATTTTCATTAAAAAAATAAATATTTTATTATTAATTTTGTTTTTTTTAATTACTTCATAGTCTTCATTACATACATATTTTAAGTAAATCTAAATAATTGTATTTCAAAGTAAATTTGATTAAATAATTATATAACATAAAATATCTTAATTCTTAAATGATGCGATGTCATTAATTTTAGACATAGATTAATATAAACATGAGATTCAACAGTTTTAATATATCAAATAACATGTTTCTAGTTGTATAAATTTTGTTATAACTTTGTTATCATTATTTTTAAATTTTATTACACCGCAAAAAATACTTATCATTATTTTAAAATAATTTATTTTAAAATTAATTTGCGTTAGATTTTGCATCTTCAACATTAACAATTTTATAACTTATCATTTATATTTATCCTCCTTGCTCAATTTTTACTTATGTTGTATAAACACCTAAATATAATTAGTTTACAATTATATAAATATGTAAAAAAATATTTTGGTCTACAAATAAAAAATTATGTATGTACAAATACAAAATAACGAAGAATACAAGAAAAAGTTTTATTATTATTCACTCATGTTTTTATTTATGTCTCTTTTCTTTTTTTTCTTATTAAAAATAAACATGAAAATTTTATTATACTTAAAGCTATATGAATTATATGAATATAATATTAACTCTAATCTTGTATTAATATAATGTTTTGATTTTATATTATAATAAACTTTTTATTTATTCATATTTTTTAAAATGACATACCATATAATTTTCTGTTTTAAATATAAAAATACTTAAATAATTTTTGTAAGTGATAACTCAACTATACTATCGACATTTATCTCTGGAAAATGATAGATTTTTTTAAAAAAAAATTATATTTGACTGTTTTGCATTCATTGAACATATTTTAAGAATACATATATATTGTGAGTGAGTATAAAAATATCATTAGTTTTCTGTAATGTATGATTTTTTATCCACTATTAATAGAAAAAAATTAAAATCGTTTATATACTTATTTCTATAGTATAATATGTATTTATATGTATATTCTAAATTTTTATAATGAAATATGTGATATTTAATTGTTTCTATAAACAAATTCTATTAATCCTATGTATTTAAAATGGTTAATTGTTTGTTTGGTAATATATATTAGATTAGGTAATTCTAGGTTTAGTTTCCTTTTAAAAAACTTTAATTAAATAAATAAAAATTCAAATGCCAACAACCAATCAAATTAAGAGAATTAATTCTACATTGCACCTATGAATGACACGTAAGCAAAATTCATTAAAGTGACTTCTATTTTAATATATAGGGGGATAAAGTTGTCTCTTAACCGAAAAGTGTAAAAAAAAAGTGTTAAATCATGGGTTAAGAATTCTGACTAAAAGACAAGGGTTAACCATGCTCTAAGATAAGGTTGCCAAATTCACACACATATGTGTCAACCATTTATTGGTTCTGTTTTGTAAAGAAAAATAAAAAGTAAATACATTATTATAATATTAATATTTTTTTCTTTTAGAATCTTGCACCGGTTTTGAGCGATGAACATGCTCTAAGTAGGCTGTCATATATACCCTCTTTGAACCCATGGATGATATATATTATTAGTGGTCTAAATCCTCACTTAGTCTGGGGTGAGATATTGGTATGTTTTACAAGCACGTTCACGTTTGCTTAGCAAAGGTTCTTAATTTCTGGGAAAATATATGTCAGCTACACTATCACATGAATATACATCTCAAATAATGCATGTTTAATTAGCTACATACAACGACAAGCGCTTTGTCGAATGTTGCTGAAAGAAGGCCTAAGATGATGCATGTGTAGTTTCAACAAGTACTTCTGTTCGCGTCTGTGCGAATGAGTGTAATTTCACATCCTAACCGTACGAGCTTTCTTAGCTCTAGTCTTTAGTGAGGGTTATTAATTGACATAATACAAGAGTTTCAGTAAAACCCTTATAGGCTCTTCCACAAGGGAATATATAGAGGTTGTTTGGTGATATGGGAATGGGAAATTGGGAATACGAGAGGATATTTTAGATAAAATAATTTGTTGCAGTCTCTACATGAGCAACCTCAAGCCATAATCTCATTCTCTATTACTATTAAGAAGTTGTAGATGGCTGTACGCTTATCTTTGTTGGATAGAATTTGGGTGCGGAGACACATCACTGAATCAATACCCACAATTATAGAGTACAAGAAACTTTTACTTGTTACCAACAAGTTGGTCTGATTCCTTCAATTGCCTAAGGAACCATATATATTTCAACATTCTGCACGTGTCTTGTTGTACTATGATTCTTGAAACTGAGATTTTAACATAGCATAACTGATAAACATGTACAACTTTTAAAAACGTAAGAATTAAAAAAAAAATGTCACACGAAAATAAACTTTTTTTTTTGTGCAACAGAAAATAAACTTATTTAAGTTACTGAATCTAGCACCTTATCTATAGTTTCTCTATAAAAAGGAGTTATGAGCTTTGAAACTACTCATTCACTAACTTGCTCTCGTTCTATAAGTAAACTAGAGAAGTATTCAATCATCTGAAAAACAATGGCACAGGCGATGTTGAAGCCTTCTTTACAAGGAGAGATTGAGGCAGATGTTGAGATCAAAGCTCCGGCCACAAAATTCTATCACATGTTCGCAGTAAGACCACAAGATGTGCCTAATGCCTCTCCTGAAAACATACAGGGGGTCAGTGTGCAAGAGGGAGAGATGGTCAGAGTTGGCACTCGCGTCACCTGGAACTATGTTCTTGGTAAGAAAAACTTGTGTCATATACATCTATAATTTACTCGACGCTATAAAATTTGATTGGTTAAAAACTGCTTTTGTCGATGCAGATGGGAAGCCAAAGGTGGCCAAGGATAGGATCGAGGCTGTGGAGCCGAAGAAGAATATGATAACGTACAGAGTGATAGAAGGAGATCTGATGAAAGAGTTCAAGAGCTTCCTATTCACGATCCAGGTGACCCCGAAGCAAGGAGGACCTGGAGGTGTGGTGAAATGGAACATGTCATACGAGAGGATTGACGAAAACGTGGCTCACCCGGAGACTCTTCTCCAATTGTGTGTCAGAATGATTGAAGACATCGACAAAATGATTTTGTCTAAGGAATAAATACTAGTCAAATATCTATTTATCTATATATATATATATGTGTGTGTGTATCTATCTTTATGTCTTTGGTGTTTTCTATATTTAAGTATCAATAAGGTGCTCTCTAGATGTAAAGAGATGTGAGTGATATGAAAGTGTGTTATGAGAAATATCTATCTATGTTATATATGTTTTTGGTGTTTTATAAACTCATACATGTGTTCATAATATACTCTCTCTCTAAATTTCAAGTATGGAATTGTGTTAATTAAAAGTTTGCATTGCATAGTTCATGGGATTGGGTATGATCCAAAATATCTTGCAACTGTCCATCAAACAAGAGGTGAAGAATAATATGACCCTGAATGTACAAGGTTTGAGATGGGTGATCCCTCTCAAACTCAAGGGGGGTAGCCTAATCAAACTAACTCAGAATGTTCAAGAGATGCAGTGGACTAGTCATGGGCATATTATCCGAAATCCGAAAACCGAACCGGAACCGAACCGAAAAAACCGAGACCGAAACCGGTCCGAAAATTACAAAAACCCGAACGGTTCCTATATTTCTAAATCCGAAAAACCGAAACCGAACCGAGACCGAACCGAGAACCGAACGGGGACCCGAATATTTTAAATTTATTAAAAATATTAATTATTTTTAATTTTAATATATATAAAATATCATTTATAAATAAAAAATCCGAACTACCCGAAAAACCCGAATTTTTTCGGTTATTTCCGAGTTTAACTCGGGTTTTCAGGATTTTTTTCGGTTTATTGGGCTTCAAACCCGAACTAAACCCGGATTATTTGTAATACGGTTCTACTTTGGGTTTTATAAAAAAATACAAACCCGACCCGAACCCGACATTAACCGAACCGATCCGAAAAATGTCCGGTTCCTAAACGGTTCCTAAACATCCCAATCCGAATAACCCGAAAACCGAATAAACCGAACCGATCCGAACCGAAAACCCGAATGCCCATGACTACAGTGGACTATAAGATGGGTGATCCCTAGAGTCCGGATACCTCCTTTTTAGGAGATCATCGATTCATGACACAATTTCCTCTTCTCATGACAGTGCTCATTCTCTTGTGGTTGCAATGTAATCATCGGCTTCAACTATCAAGATTAAAGGTAATAAAAAGATTCTATCCTTTTCTCATATGTATATTTTCTCAATTGTAACTTTGTAAGGTTTCTATCTAACAGTTGTAAACTCTTGGTACTGTTACTTTTAACTTTACAACTGTTACTTTTAACTTTAATGCATTACATTTTGTAAAAGCAAAACAAGAGGGGAATCTGTACATTATAGGATGGCAGGAATCTAAGAGCATCATTAGTAATGAGATGTTTAAACCGAGTCCTATATACATTAGTATTCTGAAATAAAATAAAATTAAAATTTGATGTGAAAAATTATGGTGCAAACACGTGTAGAAGTAATCTCTCTAAACTAGTTCAACGTTTCTCTATAACTAGACATACTTCCACTTTTCTCATTTCTCTTTTAGTTTTCATATTAATTTTAATGATGAGAAACTATAGTCAGAAAAATAACCAATGCGGATGCTCATAGAGATGTTGTGGTCTGGTGGCGGTCCCGCGGCGGCGATGCAGCAGTCCGGCGGCGGCGTGTGTTATATATATATATACTTTAGATAGATTTTCAATTATTTCTTTTGGTGAAGATATAATAAACTAATTTGTATAATCTTTTGAAAAAAATGATATAAAACTATAATAACTATCCAAAAGTCAAACTAAACAGAAATTCTAAGATTTGTACATACCAGAAGAAAACAAATGATGTTAGAAATAAAAAGTTTAAATTTTTTCAAAAAAATAATAATGATTATCCAGAAAGATCGATCAACAGTTAAGAGAAGACTAGTACGAAAGCTATGCAGTCAGCACTGCTACAACTTCGAGGAGAAAGATCAGTGTAGTGCAAACAGGTGAGTATGGAGTATACTGAGATGAAGATGGCAATGCACAGACATTGGATGGAAAGGACCATCAGTGTTTCTAAGGAAGATATAGCAGCAGTACAGGAGATGGCAGATAGATCAGGAAGTAAGTACGTATTTGAGTTTACCACAGTATGTAGGATGTTTACAAATGCCTAGAGTATATCCTCCACCCCCACCTGCGCAAGAAAAGGACAAATACCAAAAGAGTATGAGTTGTCATCTAACTCTTTGTAGATCGTTATATTCGCTGCTCTTTCAAGATGATAATATTTGAAAAGTCACCTTACCCCGCACAAGGCACGGATTTTATCCTAGTATCATATATAATATGTGTTAATCTACCATACCTAATATAATCTTTTAAGAGAGCTCATGCATTTCATTGAAATAAGCAATGGTTTTGACGGGCTTGAAGATGTTTCGCGGTGTTGTAAGGGTTTTGTCTTAACCCGAACCGTGAAAGCGTGGCCTATCGATCATTCAGACCTTCGGAATTTGAAGCTAGAGGTGTGCGACCACAAGGCCCCTTCGAGTTCTTCGGCCCATCTGCCCTTTTTGGCGTCCAATTGTTTTTTGAGTCCATCGAGAATGGTTTTGTTAATAATTTCGGCTTAGCCGTTACATTGCGGATACCTCGGGGTCGACTTGGTGAGTCGGATCTTCCACTTCTCACACATCCATAACCAACAATAAAAACTAGAAATGTCATCTAATATTTTTATGAACAGTTTCTTGAAACCACAACTTATAATGTGGCCCTTTTTACTTCAAACACTCTACCGAGGTTTGAAATGTTTCCGTACACTTTCTTGAATGTATGTATCAACATTCACCTCTCTTGATGAATTTGTTGTAGGCTAAATTTTGATATGGGAAAACGATAATTTATAGTTTATCCTATAAATAAACTATGATGCATTCCCATTCCAGGTCCAGATATATGTTCCCATATCAAGAGCAGTTGTATATGTGATCATGTAGATATATAGGTGTATATAACCAATTTATAGTTCTAGAAAACTGATAGGTTCCTCTGTTTTCTCCATGATCGTTCAGTTTTTGGGTTCTAAAGATAATTATTTTGACCCTTTTTCAACTCTTAACCCTCTAAAGTGATGAGTTTATTTTGGGTACTATCGGTTTTTAGAGTTTCTAAATTTAGCTAACCTAACAAAAGCATTGCCTTGGCGATCTGCAAACCGTACATTTTGTTCTTCTGATATCCCGAAAAACATTCATGTTTTCTTCTCATTTTCCATATTTGTCATCTCTAGTCTCTCTATTTAACCTCTCCTATTCGTCTCCTCCACTTCATATGCACCTCAAAGTTCTCCCGTCGAAAGATCTTTTCATTTGTTAAGTCAAAATCACCTTTCAATCTTCCTCTTCCCTCCTCAACCGCAAAAGAAACACACCGTTTCTTATTCTTTCTCAAACTAAACCTGTGGTTTGCTTCTACATTGTGATAAGAAAACCGGGTGAAAGAAGGGAAAAAAAAAAAAGATGGCCAAGGGAATGAGGTTTGTTCAAACATGGGGAGAGGTAGCACCAAGGCTTATTGTGTCTCACAAGAAACAACAACAGCAATTCTCAAACTTGCCAAAGCTTGAGACTATTGTTGAAGAAGGTTGCTGCGTCGATAGTTTTGCTGTTAGGGCGCCGAAGCGGATTGTGATCTTTCTTCCTATTGTACTCTCTGTGATTATGTACTTGGTGTTGCACAAAAGTATCAAAGATTCTTGATTCTTTTTCTTTTGGTTAAGAGAATTTTTTAAAATTGTGTGATGGTGAGAAGAAGAGATTGTTCTCATTTCTTATAGAGAGAGATTCAGTTCTCCAGTAAAATATAATTAATTTAATAAACAAGTTGTAGTTTGGTTTTCCCAGTTTTACAATAATTTGATATATAATTGTATAAATCATTTTTCTGTGAGCAAAATTACCAAGAAAAAAAAACTAATTACAGAAAGAAACAAATTTAAGTTCAAGATGATGGGTAAAATGTCCTACCAAAAAAAAAAAAGATGATGGGTAAAATGCTCCAAGAAAAAGAGAAGAGAATAAATACATTATTATGCATTTCATCTACTAAGATAGGTGCAATGCAGAAGAAATGGCAACAATGTTCTCCACTGGAAGGAAAAGACGCAGAGTAAAAAAAAATAATATATAAGCTTTAGAAAGAAAAAACAACGAGTAGAGAAACTCAAAAACAATGTTTGATTGTACGATACAACATTTTTTGGTTATTTATTATATAAAATATTCATCGGAGGAACTGTTTACTCAACCATCGACCGTAGCTCCTTACGCCTTCTTTCCTTGCTGGGAAAAAAAAAATCAATTTCTCACATTGATCATCTTTTCCTCAAACTATAATATATACAGAAAATGACAATGAATAAATAATGAACTGACCCGTTTCTCTTCTTCGATCTTGGCCTTAATGACAGAGTAGAGTGCAACTCCAGCAATGGCTATTCCAGTTCCGATACCTGTCTGCGTCGATATCTTGTTTCCTACAAACATTAATTCAAAAGTTTAACAAATGTTTCATTTTCACCAAAGAAAAGGATATAGATGATGAGAGTTTGTAAATCTTTTACCGAAGATAACGATGGAGAACCCAATCACGAAGACACGTTTCAGAACGTTTCCAACAGCGTGAGTCAATGGTGCTACCCTCTCCAATGTATTAGTAGCCAACTGCAACCATACACGTGGTTTTTTAGTTTAACCTTAAAATGGAAACTTTAAAAATTGAAGTTGCATTACCTGATTGTAGAGATGGTAAAACATTCCAACCCAAAAGAGATCAGAGATGAACTTAGTCATCCCCACTTTAGCAATGGCGTCGTTGAAACCGTGCTTCAACAGTTGAGGACCTTCGACCTAACCGTAGGATAAATCAATAACCCTAATTAATAGATTGCTTCGCCCACACGTAACTAAATTAATAAATTCAAAAGACTTAACGATGATGGCAGGAGGAAGGCAGACGAAGAGAGCAATGATGGAGATGTAAGCATAGACATTCGTACTGTCCATATCAGTCTGCAAAAAGAAAAAAAGAAAACACAATCAGATTCTCCACATCAAAACTTCAAAGACTTGGCTAAGAGTGTGAAGAAGAGAATCAAGAACCATGGCTTTCTTGGAGAAGATGCTTCGGTAAGTGAAAGAGATGTTTGATATCATAGCACTGATGAAACCAAGCCAGTTGAATGACAACTCAGTGAGCGAAGCCATTGCAACTCCTGCAAGTTACCATATAAGATTAATCCAATAAACTTAGGACCAAGAAATATATATAAAAAATGGGAGAAATTATTTTAATTAGAGTGGTTACCGAGTACAACAGGAGCTAAAGACAACCAAAGTGTTATGGGGATTGGTTGTCCAAGAAGGAACTGAGAAGCAGAGGCATTGAAGAATGGCTCGAGAGCTGCGTTTTTGGACATGATCATAAAATGTTAAGTTTTTGTTATAAGTATAGGTTAGTATCAAATGATTTTGAAAGAAAGTGAGATACCTTTGATGGTGTGAGTGAAGGAGACAGCGACGGCAGCGAAGGAAACGTTGCTAGTGACATGGCCTATGGCGTGACAGACTGCAACTGGTATCAATACCTTGAGGATGTCCGAGTTAATTGGCTGCAATAAATCATCATGAAAATTAGACACAAACACAAATTAAATTAATATAATATACACAAGATACAGCAAGTGGGCGTTTGGTTTAGTGGAATAATTCTCGCTTCGGATGCGAGAGGTCCTGAGTTCGATTCTCGGAACGCCCCTATTTTTCTTCGTTTGTGAATATAATGTACAAACTAATGAAAAGAAAAAAATGTAAAACTTACAGCCCGTTTAGGAAGACCCACGGACCAGCTCACCAAGCAGTAGACAACTCCAACGAACAAGTGAATAACCGATACAAAACTGAAAAAAAGAACAAAATAAAATAATAAATTCTCTCTCTTTTTTTAATTACTAAATGGATTCTTTTGATATAGTTATAACTATTCTGATTCGATTCTTCACTGGACCAACAGAATATAGTTCGACCATCATTTTTAACCAGAAGTTTACTCTTAAACATTAATTGAAATCAAAACTGAAACAGAAGATATTAAGCTATGTTGTGTTTACTCTTAAACCTTAATGTAAATGCGTTTTGTTATGTAAGAAAAAAGCTAAATGTGTTTACTTACTAGGGGTAAGGGAAGTAATTGTAGATCTTCTTGTTAAGGATGTTGAAAATCACGTTCAAGAAGTACCTGTAATCAAAAATCAAATCAAAAAGGGGTAAACAGTAACACCACGTTAATCAAACTTTGGCGGCAAACCGCATGAAACTGCTATAGTGCGCCTTATCACGTGCGCACGTTATGGAGAAATGATAATAAGCGCGTGAGTGGCACGTACCACATGAAGAAGAAGAATCCGGTGACGAGCCACGGATACTTCTTGAGAAATCCAACCTTCTCCCTACGAACACAAAAAAAAACGAGTCAGACCACCCGAGTCAAACGAGTCAACACCGAGTGAGTAAGAAACGGAGCTCATTGGCTCATTGCTTACCCTGCTGAATCACCACCTTCGGCAGCGGCGGCTCTAACCGGCTTGAGAATCTCTCTCTTCTCCGGGGAGCTATCGAGAAGCAGCACAGGACGGAGCTGACGACCGGAGATCAAGTTCCCTCCCTCTCCGATTGATCCGATCGGCTTGGCGAAAGACGACGGAGAAGACGCAGTGCTGAACTGACGGTGGACCGCTCTGATCGGTCGTCTCAGTTGCGGAACGCCGGTGACCGTTGCGGTGGCGCGTAACAGCAGGCGTGACTCCATCTCGTGATTGAGTTGTGACAGTGAGAGGGAAGGAAGCGAAATGTGAGGCTCTCGCGTATTTCAAGGGTACATACTTCGTGTTCGGACGGCTACGATGATTCTCTTTATCCCAAACGCGAGTTAATCGTGTGTTTCGCGTCTACTGTACTATAGTGGGGTTGGTAGTGTAATATGATCCAACGGTGGAGAGTGATGATATTAGATAAGAATCTTGAGATGGAGGGTTTGATTGGATGAGGTTGGACCCATCTTATCTTGAGGTGGAGGGTTTAAGACACACAGTGAGTATTGTCCAAGCGAAGTTCCATATCATCATCATCTGTTTTCATTTATGTTTTTGTTCTTTTGTTATTTTGAGGATAATATTAGTGAAATGTTTTGTAGATATTTTTTCTCTTTTTTTTTTTTTTTGAGTTTTCTTCAAATTATTGAACGTGAAAAAGTCACAAGAAAGTAGACTTTTATAAATATTACTTGTTTCAACTTTCGAACTGCAATATTTCTGACTTTTATAAATACTACTTGTTTCAACTTTCGAACTGACGTGAAATAATTCTGTTATTTTTTTTAATTTTCTGTTGTGACATGTCGGCATTTGATTTCCAACTTTAATCTTTTCAATATTTTTTAAATTTTAAATGTATAACCAAATTAATTACTTTTAGTGATCAACTTTTGTAATAGTCCAAAATATAGCTTTTAATAAATAAATAAATATATATATATATATATACGCTTTAAACTTTGAAGCTTTTTCACTAGCACTTTAAACCTTCAAAGTGACACTTGTGTCACCCAAAACCTTGAATTTGAAAATCTGACCTGTTGAACAGGTAAAACATTTAGTTTATCAGATTTTTTTTTTTGAAAAATAAATATTGAATAAATAATCAAAAAATAAATACAAATCAATTAAATTTTCAAAAAATAAATAAATAAAATTTCAAAACATAAAGAAATTTGTTGAAAAAATAAAATGAAATACAAAAAATTAAATAAAATTCGGAAAAGATTAAAAAATTAAAAAAAAAATCAAAAAATTAAACAAAAAATAAATAAAAATCAAAAACTAAATTACATTTTCAAAACATTAAAGAAAATTTCAGAACATAATGTTACATTTTAAGAAGAAATTGAAAACTGTTCGAATCCATCATCGTAAATAGTGATATATTTGAAATTTTTATTCTCAACTATAATATTTCAGATTTTTTAAAAAAGAAATCTTGTAACTTTTATGCAATTTTCTAATAAAATTGACATATCATCGTTGACAATAAATCTTTTTTCTTGTGTTCTTATACAATCTGAATCTTAAAAACCTCTGTTGAATGATATAACACCGTTCGTGCTCTTAAGTCTATCACGTTCTACTCG